TAAACTTGTTTTCTCAGTTATTGCCATGTGGCTCTGACCATCGGCAAAGCCATGCAAAGCAGATCCTTCAACAGGCTAACAAAGGGGAGAGGATCCACCCAAAGTGCTATGGTTGGTCTTTTTACTAACCTCCTCCCTCTGTTCCAAGGGCAGCTGCTTGCCACTGCAATGTGGCTTGAATAATCCCTTCTTTATCTGCTCTTGGTTAACAGGAGGCTCAAATGGGGCATTCTTTATTGGGGCAGGGGGAATACGATGGCAGCAGTAGGTGGGTCCTGTTCCTTCAGAATTGGAATAGGAAAGAGCCCTCTTCAACCTCAGTGCACCTTGGATCTATTAATGTATGTGCATAGGATAAGCATTATTGGGTGTAGGATTACATTGGTGTAAGAAAAAGAGGTAAATGAAGTTTCAAGCAACTTAGGTGTCTAATCCAGTTTTCAAAAGAGTATTTACATTTCAAGTGATCGTCCTGGGACTCTGAGCTTCTAACAAATTTAAATGTCTTCTGAACACAGGACTTAAGTTCCTACACCACTTAGATGGTCTTAGTGATGTTACACCCAGGGACTGGGGTCATTGTGATTACTGTGTGTACACCTAGGACTAAACTGGCTGCTAAAGGAGGGACAGGTTTTTCTTTACATTGCAGTGTTTTCTCCTGTGCCTACAGGATGCCCCTCACAGTGGGCATCTGAACACATGCAGCTCATTATACTATACCCACATAACACAGCCAGGAAGCAGGGAAAACAACCTCCCTTGCAATGACTAAGATCCCTTAGCCAAGGGCCTGAAATGGCTTCTGCCATAGGGACTCACTGGTAAGGTCAGCAGACACCAGATGGATCTACCCACACAGTGGAGCCCCAGGACAGGCCCTGCTCTTACCTTCCTCCAGTGCCTTCTTTTTGAAGACAAGGCCAGCAGCACCACAGTTGCTCAGTAGCTCATACTGGAAGCTAGCTGTCCAGCAGCTGATCCTCCTCTGTGGGCTGGCCTGCAGGAAGAGGACTATTCACTACAGCACATGGGCAGTGAAACAAGATACACAGCAGGGTCAGGCTCTTTCTGCCTCACTCACCACCAGAGGTAGTTGCCCAGCATGTTCCACATAGATACTCACACCCTGGAAGTCAGTAGCCAGCTTGATACAGGCAGCAGCTCATGCTGGGTATGCCCATTCCAGAGAGCCCTCAGTGCAGCACAGGTGGACCTGCTCCACCCTACAGAAACAGGGCTCCCAGCTCAAACCACTGTCAAGACACCACTGCTAAGATAATACCACCAATCAATCAATCAATCACTAACAATATCCACAGCACAGGCAGCATAAGCTAACAACTACTGTTGCATGACATCCCCAAAGATCTTGGTTCTAACTCAGTCACTGTGCTAACGGCTCTTAAAGCAGCTTCCTTCAGCTGGTTTCCCTTTCTAATCTCACAGGTGCAGGGAGGGCAATTGGTGCCACCTGAGAGGGTCACTTTCGGGCACGCGGTGTCCTGCAGCAGGGAGCAGGGCCAGGAAGGAGCTGTGCTTCAGCCTCCTTCGCTGACCTGCAGATCTGCACTTGGATGTCTGCAGCATGCAGGAAAACGATGCAGGGAGAGAAGCTGAGACTTCTCCCTGCTAGACAGCAGCAAAAACTCTGCGTGGTAGGTCTGGCCGATTTGCTTTTTGGAGAAATCCACCTGCAGGCAGGTAGGGCTGAGAGCTGCTGGCTTGCAGTAAGAGTTGTTTACAATGCGTGCTGATGTTACACCTGAAAATCAGATTTAAAAGCCTAAACTTCTGAAATTATTTTTAATGATTCTCATTAGTGGTCTTCAAGAAAACGTTCTTCATCAAAGGAAGCCTTGCTAGCCCTGCTTTTGAGGGTCTGCTCCAGCTGGTGCGATTTCACAGGCTTCAGAAAAGTTACATATATCACTTAGCTGGATTTAAATATGTAATATTAGAGTGGGTTAAAAGAAAGGAAAAGAAAACAAAAAGGGATGTAGCTTTTGTGAAAATACATGCTTTCCTATCAAAATCACACACACACACACGCACACACACCAAAAAAACCCTTGTCAAAATAGTAGGATTGTGAAAACCACAGCTGGTTTTTCACCCTCGTTACCCACAATCTGCTTTTCGCGCAAACGAGGGGGAGAAGATCCCAACGGCAGCCGAGGGGCCGAGCAGGCGGCCGTCCCCGGCGCCCGGAGGGGC